TCTGCTGGGTCACACGAACCAAGAGGACGCGGGCCTCGAGGTGCACCAGTTCTACCCGCTAGTGAAGGTGCAGTGTTCTCCCGAGCTGCGCTTCTTCCTCTGCTCCATGTACGCACCCGTGTGCACCGTGCTGGATAAGGCCATCCCGCCGTGCCGATCTCTGTGCGAGCGTGCCCGCCAGGGCTGCGAGGCTCTCATGAACAAGTTCGGCTTCCAATGGCCGGAGCGGCTGCGTTGCGAGAACTTCCCCGTGCACGGCGCGGGGGAGATCTGCGTGGGCCAGAACACGTCCGACGGCTCCGGGGGCCCCGGCGGCGGCCCCACCGCTTACCCCACCGCGCCCTACATGCCCGACCTGCCCTTCACCGCCCTGTCCCCGGGTGCCGCTGACGGTAGGGGCCGCTCCGCTTTCCCCTTCTCGTGCCCCCGCCAGCTCAAGGTGCCCCCCTACCTGGGCTACCGCTTTCTGGGCGAGCGCGACTGCGGCGCCCCTTGCGAGCCGGGCCGTGCCAACGGCCTCATGTACTTTAAGGAGGAGGAGAGGCGCTTCGCCCGCCTCTGGGTGGGCGTGTGGTCGGTACTGTGCTGCGCCTCACACTCTTCACCGTGCTCACCTACCTAGTGGACATGCGGCGCTTCAGCTACCCGGAGCGGCCCATCATCTTCCTTTCGGGCTGCTACTTCATGGTGGCCGTGGCGCACGTGGCCGGCTTCCTGCTGGAGGACCGCGCCGTGTGCGTGGAGCGCTTCTCAGACGACGGCTACCGCACGGTGGCGCAGGGCACCAAGAAGGAGGGCTGCACCATCCTTTTCATGGTGCTCTACTTCTTCGGCATGGCCAGTTCCATCTGGTGGGTCATTTTGTCGCTCACTTGGTTCCTGGCGGCCGGTATGAAGTGGGGCCACGAGGCCATCGAGGCCAACTCGCAGTACTTCCACCTGGCCGCGTGGGCAGTGCCCGCCGTCAAGACTATCACCATCCTGGCCATGGGCCAGGTGGACGGGGACCTGCTCAGCGGGGTGTGCTACGTGGGCCTGTCCAGCGTGGACGCGCTGCGAGGCTTTGTGCTGGCACCCCTGTTCGTCTACCTCTTCATCGGCACGTCCTTCCTGCTGGCCGGCTTCGTGTCGCTCTTCCGCATCCGCACCATCATGAAGCACGACGGCACCAAGACCGAGAAGCTGGAGAAGCTCATGGTGCGCATCGGCGTCTTCAGCGTGCTCTACACCGTGCCGGCCACCATCGTCCTGGCCTGTTACTTTTACGAGCAGGCCTTCCGCGAACACTGGGAGCGCACCTGGCTCCTGCAGACGTGCAAGAGCTACGCGGTGCCCTGCCCGCCCGGCCACTTCCCGCCCATGAGCCCCGACTTCACCGTCTTCATGATCAAGTACCTGATGACCATGATCGTAGGCATCACCACTGGCTTCTGGATCTGGTCCGGCAAAACCCTGCAGTCGTGGCGCCGCTTCTACCACAGACTCAGCCACAGCAGCAAGGGGGAGACTGCAGTATGAGCCCCGGCCCCACCCCTACCCTTCTTTCTCCCACCCCCTCCAAGGGGTTAAGGAGAGGTAGGGAAAGAACTGATGGGTGGGGGGCTTGCTTCTGTAACCTCCTTCCCCTCCAATGAGAAGTGACCTGGAAGTGAGAAGATGTATGTAGACTCTGGACAGGGAATGGGTTTGGAAAGGAAGCCTGAGTGGAGAGACCGTTTGGATGAAAAGACTTCTGGCAAAGACTTGCAGGATGATGATGATGATAATGATAACAATGATGTTAATCCTGTATGGTACGGGCTGACTTGGGCCAATCGAGAAGACTGAGATCAGAAGGTTGCTGTGAGTTCTTCCGGGCTCTGGGGCTGAACTGGGACTGTAAGCGATTCCCCTGCTGCAAGATAAGTGGCCTGTCCTCACTCCTGTGAGGCCCGGGTGAAAGGTACAGCTCTGTCTGCAGCGGGCGGCTTTGTTGGGAAACGGGAGGGCTCCCTGCAGTGTTCTTGTCCAGCGGTGGTCAAACCATAATCTCTTTTCACTGGGGCCAAACTGGAGCCCAGATGGGTTAATTTCCAGGGTCAGACATTACAGTCTCTCCTCCCCTCCTCCTCCTGCCTGTTTTTCTCCCCCTAAGCATTTTGAAGTCTTGGGAGGCCTGCCTCCTAGAATCCTAGTGCAGGATGCAAAAGAAATGAAGATAACATTTTGCAATGAGGGAAAGGAGGCGAGTAGTAGGTTATTCTACTACTTTTTTATTTTCTGGGGGAAGGCAGGAGGGGGGAAAAGGGTGTTTTATTTGGTTTAATATCCTGAAAAGAAGTGATGACTTGTTGCTTTTCAAAACAGGAATGCATTTTTCCCCTTGTCTTTGTTGTAAGAGACAAAAGAGGAAACAAGTGTCTCCCTGTGGAAAGGCATAACTGTGAAGACAGCAACTTTTATAGGCAAAGCAGCGCAAATCTGAGATTTCCCTTTGGATGTTAATTTGGTTGAGATAAACATTCCTTTTTAAGGAAAAGTGAAGGGCAGTGTGCGTCCATACCCTTTCCATCAGACGTTCTGACTTGGCTAAAGGAAATGCAAGGGGTTTTGTTATGTTTGCTTTAAGTAAATTTAATTCAGAACACATGATCCAACAGGCTCTGTTAAAACGTTCAGGGAAATCTCTCTCTTCTTTTTTTTCTTCCCATAAACCTGCATTTAGGTTTTCTTTTTATTTTTTTCCTCCAATTTGAATTCTTCAACATAAAAGCAGCATAATGCCTTTAGCCTCATAATAAAGGAAAGTTAAAAATTTTTTTAAAGTAAAGAACCATTTTGTCTTGTTTTCTTTGTTCTATAAAACCGTTCATAAAATATCATGTGTATGCTGACCCTGTCTTTGTGTGGCTGGGGCAGGGAGGGGGGGAGGTGACCTGCAGAAATGTTAGTGAAGAGGACAGTTCAAACCATGGACCCCATTTTTAAGGAAAGTCATTAAAAAAAAGGTAAACTTCAAAGTAATTCTGGAGTTCTTTGAAATGTGCTGGATGACTGAAATTTATTAATCTTAGATCATGTACTTTTTTTTCTATAATGGAACTCCAATTCTTTTGCATAATGGTCTAAAGCTAAACAGCATCATGGGAGCTAACCTTTACTCCACGTTTGACACCACCCAATCTGGCAACACTATCCTATTTCTCAAAACAGCTTTTAAATGCTGTTTTAAATGGTTTTTAAAATCATAGAGTGTACTGTCAGGAGTACAAGTTACTTTATATACATAATGTTCGGTTGAGTGGAGCTGCTTTTTATATTAAAGTTAACATTGACTATGTGTTTCTTAAACCTTCAAAATGTCTCATTTGTCAGATTTTTAAAACTCCCACTACACAGTTTTTGGCATCTTTTGTGTTGTATCTCTTGCATGTGAAATTTGTAAAATAGAGACAAGTGCAGTATGTATATTTTGTAAATCTCCCATTTTTGTAAGAAAATATATATTGTATTTATACATTTTTACTTTGGATTTTTGTTTTGTTTTTGCCTTTAAAAGTCTACAAGGAAGCCCCACTTTATCACATGTACAGATCACAAATAAATTTTTTAAAAAATACAAAGTGGACGTTTATTTAGTTTATGGTTCCTATATAAGCCAAAGAACAGAATTTTGTATTATGGAAAGATAGTGTGGAGGGACACCATTGGATGTGTCCCTCGTAGAGGAAGATGTTTTATATATATATAGAGAGAGAGAGAGGTCTTTTCTTCGTGCCTTTTAAAATACAGAGTGTAATGAATGTCTTAACTGTCCTTTAATTTTTTTTCTGTTGTCGCTGCTTCCTGCCTCTCCACACCACCCTACCACACATACCCCTAAGCTTTTTCACATCCTGCTTTGGATAATTCACTGAAGGTACAGAATAAGCTTCTCTTTTAGAGAGGTGCTATCTGATCCATGTTTTTACTACTCTTCAGGCATGAAGTCCATATTTAAAAGAGGACTAGATATTTTGGGTCTGCTTTTCTGGAAATGTTTTCCTGGGGGAGCATTCTGTGAATTTTTTTTTATCACTGATTAGTGTTTTTGTGTTCTAATGCCCCTTATCTAAATTGTTAATACTTAAATCCTTTGAGTTCAGGTGTCTGGGAAAGTCTGTACTTGATTCCAGAGGGAGATCATAGCAGGGGCCTTGCACGTGGAGCTTTCCCAGCTGCAGGCTTCCCTCTACCTTCTAGGTCAACTGAGCCGGAGGTCAAGTGATTCCTGAGGTGGCGGTGACTCAGCAGCTCCGGCAGGAATAGACTCCACGCCTGACCCCAGGATGGCCTCAGAAGCCACTGAAGCTATTCTTTCCTCTTGTCAGAGAGGCTAACTTTGGAATCAGATTAGACCGAGAAGCCTTCGCTATCCAGCCACTTTGATATTAAACAGTCCCTCAGGGAAATGATAAAGGCATTCTAAATACTTCCAGTTCCAAGCCTCACTGGCTTGCTTTTTTTCCCCCCCTTTTCCTTCGTCTGTCTCTCTTTAATTCAGGTGTCTGTTTGCTGGCTTTTCATAACAGAGTTCCCTCATTCTCCAGCAGCCATCACAGCAGCAGACTGGACTCTGCTGTTTCTCTCTCCCCGCTCTGGCTCTAAGTTCCTGTACTTCTAAAGCTCAACAGAAACAGTTCTGTTTTTGTTTTAATTAACAGGCTCACACACATGGCTGGTGTGTTTTACAAACATACAGAATGAAAACCAGTGACAGACAGTCCTCACCAGGAGGAGGAAGGCTTGCGGCTGCACTCTGTGCAAAGCAGCTTTAAGATCCTCCTGGGTTTTGAACATCACAATGAGCGTGAGGTCATCTTAACCTGTGAAGATTCTGGCGTAGAGAAAGGAAAAAAATAGCAACTTCAAGTCTCTTAAGGTTTATTCAGTTTTTGCTCATAAAATGACACCTTTTAGGTTAAAGCATGCCTCTTTTAACACCACACTAATACTGCCTGTTAAGAATGTTTGCTTTTAGAGTAGGTGGAAGGCTCCCAATGGAGTTTTCTGCTCGCAAATTAACTGCTAAAGGCACTTAGCCCCTTCTGTGGGGAGAGCTATGTGACTGCTCCCGTAAACGTGTCCCCTCCCTCTTGTCAGCGCTGCCTCGTCCTTCAGGGCTCTCAAAGACTGAAGCGCACTGGTCTGTAGTGAGGGAACAAAGACTGTGTATGAATAAATCACTACCTGCTTTTTTGTAAGCAAAGATAAAAGTGTTCAGCTTAATTCCTCTCACATTGTGGTGCGTCCGTATGTAATAGATTCTTACCTAAGAATTTTAGAAGCTCAGGGATCTTTAAGGAGGTGCATCTAAGCAGAAAATAGGTGAGGGAGAGTGTTTGTGAAAGGGCACGTGTGGGGTTTAGGAAAAACATTGGCAGGAGTTTGGTGTTAATCCCTAGATAAGGAGCAGAAACACTTGTGAAAATTTTCTTCAGTTTATAAAACAAAATTAGTCTATACAATAACTTTATGCAACACTCAGTCTTTTGAAGTAGGTTTGTGAGAAATCTTGGGGAGAAGCAAATAAATGTCCTGTTGACAACATCTTGCCATTAAAGAAAAAGCAGATTTTTTTTTAAGAAATGTGTTTGATAGAAAATAGTGATATTAGAAACTCTCTGGGTAGAACTATAGGAGTATAACAGCTGTAGGTTTGAGCCCTGTAATTATACTGGGGAATTCTCTTCTAACTCTCCCATCTTTAATTTCACTGAAAGGCAGGTGGCTATTTATAGATGGTATATTTTTATATATGCATATGTGGATGGTGAGTAACCGTCTACAAGGCTCCAGGAAATCCTAGAAGAGACCAAAGCACTACGATGTGGACTTAAACTTATAAATCTGTTCTATTTTTCTCTTATTTTACTCTCAGTGACATTAAAGTGATTTCATAAAACTTGGTTCTTCAACTCTTACTTTCCAATTTGTGACATTTCTTATGTCTGAATCTCTATGTTCCTCACATTTCATACAAAAGTGAACTAGTTAAAAACGTACCATTAAAATGTCAGGTCTCTGGTAAACACACCTTGTGCCTCTCTCTCTCTGGTTGAAAAAAATGTTAAAGTTCTAATTGGAATTTTCTCAATTAGTACCACAGTGGTGGAAAAAAAGGAAGTTTGACCAAGAAAACAGAAGTTTATTATAAAGTATCCAGTTCAAGAAGATCTGATCAAGCAGCCACTATGGAAAAGGTACTAGGACAGGGTCTGGAGGTAACTTGCAACATAGTTCAGGATGAGGATGCCATCCTTCACAGAGGAATAAGCAAATAATTATCTTTCTAGACAGAATTTGGCAAGTGTCACTATAGAGGCCCAAATGCTATTTGGAAAAATATGACTTGACATTTGGTGGCATTTATTGTTTTTAAAAGCTGCTCTAACATTCATTACTTTACTTTATTCTCACAATTATTGTAACAGTCTTTTAACATGGAATAAGTCCTATTTTAAAAATGAAGCTGAGAGGCTTATTGAGATGAAGTGACACAGAAAGAGGAAGGAATCATCTCACATCCTCAGATCAGTGCTCAGTGCACTTACTGTAATACCAGCCTCTCTCTAAAGGTACTGGGAGCTTCAGTCATGCAGATGACCCATCGAATTGCAGAGGGTGGGTATCCAACAAGAATGCATTTCCCAAGAACTCACATCATATGATTCTCCATCATTTTCATGCTCTTAGATCAGTTCCTTCATCTCCATGGGCCTTGCTTTCCTCAACTGAACAAGATGACGTCCAATACAATGGCCCTCCTCCAGCATCCTGTGATTCCAAGAGGCTGTTTTGAAGTACAAACCGGCTCAACCAATTGTGGATTATCCACGGCCATTTTGAAATCCCTGACTGTTTGTTTTCCCCTCCTGTAGCCAATGTGTCCCACTTCTCAGCCAACCAAGCCAGTGTGCGCTCAGTGAAGGAAAGTGAGCTTTATGTTGGCCTTTATAAGCCCAATTCAAATGGTAAGATCATTACTGTATCACCGTATACTGAAGCCAAAATACAAGACTGTCTAGTCTCTTGAACTGGCTACTGTGCCACTCCTCACTCCTCTTCATAAGCAATTGCTTTCTGCCACTGAGAGTTAGCCTTCTTCAATACCAAAGGAGTTTATTGCATCAGATCTTCTTGGTTTCTCTCAAAGACCATGTCCATATCACAGCCAGATTGGCCACAGTCTCATATCTTGGAATTCCCATTGCTGGGAATTTTAGAGCCAAATCAACATTTTATGTAGCTGAAATAATAAGACAAAGGTTTTTGGTTCTGATCAGTTATCCTAGCCAAAAATTTAAATGCTTCTCTAGGTCATTGTCCCCAGAGCCTCTCTCAGAAGACTTCAAACTAACAAAATAATATTGAAGCTACACTGAGGGATTCCATTGTGCTTTTGCTGGGAGTCTACTTCACCTCGGAAGGAACTTTCAGAGAGCTCAAGCTCATCTCTTTTGTTATGGATCTTCCTTTAAAATGCTTCACACCTGCAAATCTCTTTATGTGGCTTAGCCCTGGCATTAGGTCAGCATCGAGTTCATGAAGCAGTCTCCAACAGATGGGTATATCAGGAGCAAGAAAGGGCATTTAGGAGGCAGAAACAAGGGTAGGAAGAGTGAGGAGATAAAGTCCCATCAAGTCCACGAGTGAACAAGCTGCTCAACTGATTTAGGTAAGACAACAACCTACTACTACTCACCCTTAGAAAATGTGATCCCCAAACTTCAGTGTGGCCTTGCAGATTCTGGAGGACAATTCATTCGTAGGGAAAAGCATCTTGGGGAGGGTGCGGTGGGACAGGGACTAGGAAATGAAACCTTATGGGGCATAACCTAGCAGCAGTTATAGTTTTTTAATTTTCAAGGGAAAACAAATGGCATGTAGCATTTAGTTCCCGTTTCCAAATCTGGGATAGCTGGAAGAAGAGATGGGTGGCAGCTGGTCCCTGAGTTGCTTTTTGTAGCAGACATAGAGAACTAGCCCTTGAACTAAAAATCATGAATTATCTCCAGCACCAACAAATTGTTTCTTGAGGACCAAGGATGTGGCAGGGGCTGTGTCAGGCACTGGGCTTAGCAGACTGGCTTCTGAAAATTGTTATCCTGAGTCTTAGCCAGAGCTAAGTGCACACTCCTCACCTCACTTATTTCCCACATCAACTTCTCAAGTGGGGAGTGGGCCAGAAACAGCATCCTTGGTGTTTACAAACTATCTTTCTCCCCACTGTCCTAAAGTACTAACAGTAAATGGGTAGTGATACGGTGATCACATTCTGAAGATGGGGAAAACTAGTGAGGCTAAATGCAGCTTGTTCCCTGTCAAGAGTAATCACAGGCCAGGCCACAGTGAAGGATCCACTCAGGTCTCCCAAAGACTCAGAATCTGGCCGTCTTTCCCTCAGAGCAGTGGGCTTCGAGATGTGTGGCCAGAAGGAGGGGGACCTAAAGGGGACAGGGGAGTGATGGATGGTTTGGACCAGCTTTGGGAAAGGGAGCATGAGTGCACAAACATGTTGCCAAGGGCAATGAAGACTGGTTCTTCACACTTTGTTGATATGATCATTATCTTTATAAC